CTGTTCCGAATCAATTTAGATTCTAAAATCTAGCCTGACTTTAAATCTCTTGCCTAGATTTTAGACGATATTACTCGTATATGACTTCTCTTGATTCTGCCGTGCTTCTCGTAGGTATCATTTTCCATGATTGTAACGCTGCGTTGAGTCCCTTGATTTTTTTCTGGAATTTGTCAACCCAGCAGCTCGTATACGCAACCGTACCTTAGTAATGTTTTAATTAGGAAAAGCTGGAGCAACATGAGATGCCTATTTCCGAACATTTGGTTGCGGGAACATTCACGTGCCAGGAGCGAGTTCCATGGTGCAGGAACCATGTTTCACGGAAGCCATGAAAACTCCGAGGGTATGCAGCGCGTGGAAATAAAACACGCATTTCAAGAGAAACTCCTGCGAAACTTGAATTTATGCTGATGAACCCTCAATAAACGAAGAATGAAATGCTCCGCGAAAGACGGGATGAATGCACAAGAATATCAGTGAAGTGGTAACCGTGCATGGATAACGGGGGATATTCGACTGTCGATCCCTATGGTAACGATGAATACTCCACTTGACGGCTGATCGCGATCATGAGTTTTTGTAACGGTTTATCTCGGGAAGGAGGAACACGATTTCCATCCTTGCTTTCCTCTGACCTTGGCTTCAACTTTCACCGGCATTCCCTCATGGCGCCACAGGAGCTCGATAACACTCGTGCTCATGTCCATGCCTGGAACCGGGGTTGTCAGGCTGGCTTTGGCGGGCCGCAGAGTTGCGAGGGCCATTTTGTCGACACTGTGTCGTTGACAACCCTGTTTGTTCGGCGAGGGGAAAGCGGGGGTGACGCGGCGGCGCGCGGGCAGTCGGTCACATGCGGGGCAGGAAGGTGCACCAGCGCGAGTGCCCCCTGGCGACGTACACGGGCTGCCTGCGCGGCCCGCGGGTCCCCGAACCCAAGCCTGTGTCTCCTGTCGCGGCTCCTCCGATCCCGGTCGTCAGCCAAAATCAACAAACAGGTTCATTCTATTTTTCCTAGTCAAATATACACATCCACATAATTTTTACCCCCCTTCTTTCCTTGCGCGATTCTTGTTCATCGATCGAGAGTGAATGAATGATTTCCACAGACGAACGACGACTCACGATGTGTGATTAGGGAAACGCAATACTGTACTGTTTTCTGTAGCATCCTGCAGCAAAATCTGATTTCAAATCCGGATCGAGGAACATTTAGTGACGAGCGTGAATATACATTCTGTTTGGTCAGTTTTTTGTGAAAGCAAGTTGAGTGCAATGCAGTGAAGTACCGTACTGTATTCTAATTCCATCTCGTTTTATTCAATCCCTCATCAATTGGAAACTGTAAGCTTTCTTGAGCGTCGTGAATCTTTTTGAATTCTTCGTAAAAGATGCTGATGTTATGCTCAAAATTTAGCAATTAGTGCATGACGCATCATGAAATTACCCTTCAGCGTTTCCCGTGCATCCTCGGCACTCCGTCGCAGTTCAAAGCAATCCTCAATGATTCGGCACTGTGCCGATCTTTTTTTCGTGACGCAACGTGCAGCTAGCATAGACTCGAAGCATTAAAATAGGTGCACGAGTTGAATTTAATAATACGAATTATAACAATTTTTGTTCCTGGAAATGTTCGGATCAATTTCGCTTTGTGAACGATCGGCCACAAGCTAGTTACTTTCTTGTCGAAGAGCTTCACTGCTAAACTGACCGATCGTGTGGAAATTTGCCTCGCGCTGATCGGAAATCTTCTTTCGTCGAGCAATGCATTGAAGTTCGCTGCTCAGCGAAAGATTTTGCACTTCGCTGTAACATCGGCCTCATTTTATTTTTCGACATCACGCCTCGTAGATACTTATACCCGTTTTTATTATATTTCGGAGAGTACCGCAAGTTCATTGTCTGTGGAAAGTCTCAGACGTATTCAACGGGATGGCTGCGTCCTCCAGTGAAGCTGCGAATATTCTCGATGAGATCTTTGTTAATTCAAAGAAGTACAAATGTGGACATTACTGTACCAGCATTTCTTCTAGACTATCTAGAGGTTTATTGTACGTGTGTCTGCGTTTTAATTTGCTGTTGAGCTTATGTTGAGGATTACCGTTTTGATGCCAAGGTTTGAGGACTGAAGCGTCTAGCTTTTTCGAAGGAAGTGTCTTGAGAATCGGATCACGGCGAAATTCCGGGCCAGATTTCTTTGGTTAGTTCTCATTTTTAAGGGTACTCGAACGTGTCGTTCATGACGAAGTTCTTAACGGAAAATAATTATTTTAAGGTTTACGAACGGAAGCGTAGCTTTGAAACGGTCCTCTTTCTCAGCAAATACTGTACATTAAATTTATTTTGTCTTGTGATGAATAGTGTCCTTTTCTCTCAACTTGTGGAGTTCCGATTGGCCGTTAGAATTTGCTCATTTGTTGAGCGCTAAATTCGTGACAAGAAGCTTGGCATGTGAAATTGGCCGAATGCCGGGCATTTCAAGCTGTGGTTAGAATACCAGGGATGGTACACGAGTATTTTCTTGTCCTGAAATTGGTGCGATCTGCGCGAACGTTGCGAACATATGGGTCGAATGAGATGTTTCGGGGGTCTCCGTGAACATCGTGCTACAAACACCATACAATGGGGTCATTCATGAGGAAATGTGGAAAATCGACGGAAATTTTGGAATTCGCGTTTCCAAAGCTTCGTGTTCTTCCTGTGAAGCCACTGAATCCTTGGATCTATTGGCGGAGCTATTCAACAATGATGCTTCATTTTGAAACGGAAAAATACCGTAGATGCGGAAGTTTTCGAGCGAAATGCGAGGGTTTTCATAGTTGGACGCGGCCTCTGGTAGTTCTGGAGTAAGTGTGATTATAGAAATAATTCGTGATATAGCTCGTGAAGTTCTAAGGTTATAATTTTTTTCCGATTTCCTAGAAAAAGCGTTCAATCGACTGCATGATGATCAGTGATAAATTTCCAGTTACGAGTTGAGTTCTCCATCCAGGTAAAAAATTGAAATTTTGTTGTTTCCATCATTCTATGGTCTACATATTGGATTGTGGTGAAAAACTGCAGTTTTTTAGGTGGCCTGACAATTTTTAGCATTCTGTGACGTGGGTGGAGAACTCTGACTGTAGCTGGAAAAGTTTCACGTATCATCTTGCAGAAATTCTTTGTTTTTTTTTTAAATTAATCCGAAGAAAAAAATCCCGGAATATTCGATTTTTTGGACTATGTAACGAATTATTTTTACATAGGCCAAATTATTTCACTACTCCAGAAATAAAAGAGGCAACCTTCTTTTTGTGCACTGAGCTATATTTTTTAAGAATCAGGGAATTATTGCCTCAATCCCTCCTCACAAGTTAGCTTTACTCGCTTGCTTGCTTAATAAATCCTATGTCATGTAGTGTTGGAATTTATATTATCCAATGTACAGTACATTGTTCTGGAAGAAAAGAATCGTGTCAACTACTCTGGTCTATGTGTAGCTTTGTGTTCTATGTTCCGAATGCTCAAATTGCTGATGTCCCAAGTTTCCAAACGCGACACCGTTAGAAGCCGCCCTCGGGAATTTCCAGGATGAGGGGGATTTTATTTATTTTTTACATAATCTTTCTGAATGTTTTAGTAATATTCGCCGCGTGTTACCAAATTTTCAATCAGTCTTTCAAAACCCGACGTTCCGGAAAGTTCAGCAGCGACGTTCGCGCTCTCAAATTGATCGTTCGGGGCTTTTACTGCGGCGTAATCTGCGTCGTTAGCCGTCTTTCCCGGATGTTTAGCAATGCCTCGTCTTGGCCTACGTCGAGGAGCAAGTTTTTGAAAGCATTGCATCAGGTCGTCGTCGTCAGGACTTTTCGGAGTTGAGGACTGACTGCGAAAGAGTTTTTCGTTGGGTCGTCTTTGTTTCCGGTCTGCGATATTTATTTTCCAGTCACCGATCTACAGTACATTACAATTGAAGCTCGATAACGAAGTCGAATTCCACCCTATTTCGAATTTTGTTTCTTTTTTGCAAGTCCCTCTTGGAATTCCCTTAGAATCAATGTATTGATAACCTCGCTGACTCGAAGGCTTTCCGCCTAAAACCTTCATTACTCGAATGTTCAGGAGGTCTTTTGGTTGTTATTTTATTGATACAGGAAAGAGAAAAGCATTAGAAATGTTCCTTGGCCAATTCGATGAGGAAGAAATTCACGGCCTAGAATATCATCGGTTCCAGTTTTCTCTAATTCGCCCCCCCCCCTCCCCCACAAAAGTGCTTGTTTGCCTAACTAAAAAAAATTTGCCGGTTCCTTGAATTTTGACAGGGAGAGGTTCGATTGTACGAGAAAAAAAATCGCAAAAACGTCTTACTTTTGGAACTAGGATTTTGTGGGCAAAATCCGAGGGTTCCGTCAGGTTGAAGACGTTGCGAAACTTCGCATTAATACGACGAATTCTTTTTTTTTTTTTTATTGGAAATGACATGGGGTTCTTAATGAGTGACAAAATATCTTTCAAGACGCTGTGTGGACCGTGAGTCTACAGCATTTTTTCCTGCATTTTTTGTGCAATACTGTACCATTGAACCCGAATGCAAGTTCATTGGCGTTTTGAGTGGAGTTGCATGGAAGAATTTTGTGTCGACGTGAACCCGGGAGCTTCGTCCATGACTTTGTTGTGCAAGTAGAAAAACATGCGTGGAATTATTTTCAGCTGCCTTCTTATGATTTTTACCGACGAACTTCCTGGAATTCTTGAATATTTCACTTCTCGCGTATAATTTTATAGCTCTCTTATTATTTTTTTTCGGGGAGACGCATCTGAATCACAAATTTCTTGTGAAGCTGGATGGAATTTTTTTGTGTGGAAAAGACTCCCGGTTATTCATTTTTTTTCTGTTCGAGTCAAGGCTGAGTTTTGAAAAATGTGGCTTGCGAGTCATTCTGGATTCATTAGAAGTTATGAGGATTATGAAGAAATGTGTGTAATGCTCCTGCAATGACCTCGTCTTTTGAGGTGATGAAATGCTGATGATGGCATTCGAAGTATTCAAGAGTAATTCCGGGCATGTGGGCTCGCTGTAGTCGTGGGAGATGCGACGGGGTTTTATTTCTCCACTTTTTTGTCTCAACTCTTTGTTTTTTCATGCTGCCGTCTTAATAGATGCCAGCGTGGTGTTGACAGAAGACACGGACAAGTTCATGGTTGGACAGAGGGTGTATGTTGGTGGGACGAAGCCTGGGAGGATCATGTTTATCGGGGAAGTCAAGTTCGCCCCAGGGGAATTTGCTGGGGTTGTTTTGGACGACCCTGTTGGTGAGTGAGTCTCGAGGCGTTTCTGAAATGCATTTTGATACAGTGCTGTAAAATTCCGTTACAACGACTCTCGGTATACAGTACAGGTGAACTCTCACTAACAAGGAAATTTGAGGGATCAAAACAAATTCTTCGTACAGTACCCCTAGAACGTGAAATGAGAACCTCATATTAAAAAAAAAAAATCGTCTTGCGGAGAATTTCGTTGTAGAGAGAGTCCACCTGTGGAAAAAAAAAATCTTTCTTGGTGCCTTCAGGTTCTTTATAGGAACTATGTTATTGAAGAACTACTGTACTCTGTAACGAACTAATTTTCCTCTGTAATCTCAGGATAACGAGTTTTTGCCTTCGTCACATGTGCACGGCCATAGACATTTTCAATAATTGGTACTTCATAGGAAAATCCAGCGTGTGAAGAATTCTGAAGGTATCGCAAGAAGCAGGAAGCTCTGATCAAAATTTATGTGACTTTATTATATACTAATTCAAAATTGGCTTATTAAAAGAAGCACGTTTGAAAGGATTCTGTTCTTTTTCATGGAATGGACGGTTATCAGTGAATAAATACGTACTCTTATGCACCTATTTTCGATTTTTAAATCTTATAATTATAAGTTATTGGAAATTGAAGAAAAGAGAAGTACAAAATAACTAAATAAGATACAGCAATGGTTTATTTATTTTTTCTCTACTCTCTCGTCAAAATAAGTTTGAAATAAGGGGAATTCTTCACGTATCTGTTCTGGAAGTACAGTAATTTGAAGCATTTATTGCCTGTTACTGAATAAATTTCACTCATATATGCTCAAAGAACCAAGGATCTCATTCTAACGAATTTTTCACTTGGCCGTGGGAGTTCGTTGTAATGAGATTTTACGGCATTACTTTTAAACTTTTCACAGTGCCACAAATCTCCCTGTACTGTGTTCTTTGAGCAAAACTCTCAAGTTAATTAAAACTTGTCTAGTGCCAGAAAACATCTTCTTTTCCTGTGTAATAGAAAAACCAAAATCATAGTAGTACGGCCTTTTTAGGGATATCATTAGGTAATTACTGGAAAACACGTGTTGATGCTTAGGATCTATCTTGAAAATGATTCATCTGAGTTTACTTTGAATTGAGTGGCATTTTTGGGATATCTACTGCAGCAGAGAGAGTCCCCATGGCTGGGATAGCCTCTTCGAAAAATTGAAATAATTTCACCTTCTCTTGGTAGTGTGTGCGTTCAATGTAAGGTTGATGAAAACTTCGAGAAACAGCTCTGCTCTTTTAAAATATGCGCAAAAATCGAATATGTTGTGTATGTACAGTATATATAAATTGAACACAGTGTATGTGAGTGTGCAACCCTTTCTTGTGGCTTGCTCTCGTATGAAGACAGTCTAACGATTCTGCAAGCAAGCTTATTTCGCCGGTAGTGAACTCCCTCAACGAAACACTCCTCTCATACAATAACCGTGATTCAGTGCCGCAAGAAAGCGCCTGAACAATTTGTGGCAGTAAATCTATGTTCGACAATAGGTATTGAGTGAATTTTGTTGTTGTTCAGGGAAGAATGACGGGACCGTCGGTGGCTACACCTACTTCCAGTGTGCCAAGAACCATGGGGTTTTCTCCAGACTGACGAGGCTGACTTTCGACATGCTTTCTTCGTCGCAGTTGGCTGAAAAGGCTGCTCAGAGTGCCCAAGAACTCGGTTCTCCTCCGAGGCAGGCCAGCCCATCGCCGTCCGATCGCAGTGAGTTCTTTTTTTCATTTTTTAAACTTTATTTTACCTGGTCTGACCTCCGAAACAGCAAAAGCAGAAGTACAAAGATATCGTGCTCAGAGCAGTTTCTGGAGCGCGAGGACTGCTGCTTGTTAGCAACAGTTTCTCTGGATCAAGCAATGATGCGAATGGTTTCGCTGGGGTGTTGAGTCACTGTGGACGCTTTTGTGGCAAGTGTGTCCTTCTGAATACAGGTGGACTCTCTCTACATGGATTTTCTGTGTATGAAGAATATTTGACCCTTTCCTGTTATCTCAGTACCTACTTTCCGTGCACCTACCAGAAACTGTGAATTTCATTTTTCCGCATTCTGCTGAAACTGATTTTGGGAGGCAGTTGGGTAAAGTTAGGTTAGGTCAGGTTATGTAAGCTACAAATATCTTTCAATTAATATAACCTGACCTAACCGAACTTTACATAATTATATTACTTAAAAGATATTTGTAGCTTACATAACCTGACCTGACCTAACTTTACCGAACCGCCTCCCAAAATCAGTTTCAGCAGAATGCGGAAAAATGAAATTCACAGTTTCTAGTAGGTGCACAGAAAGAAACCCAACGAAAGCAGAAACTGATTTTGGGAGGTGGTTAGGTTCACAATTTCTAAGTGTATTCAGTATTCTTTAGGTTAGGTTAGCGTCAGGTTATGTTAATTGAAAGATATTTGTAACATAACCTAACCTAACCTAAAGAATACTGAATTCACGAGACAAATAAAAATGGGTACTGAGATAACAGGAAAGTACCAAATTTTTTTTTTTATGTTCTCTCCACATGCTATAAGGAAGGGTTCTCGACAACGATTTTTTTCGTGGTCCCTTGTATTTTGTAATATGGAGAGTCCACCAGTGAACGGTGAAAATGATTGTGGTTACGGTAGTACGGTACTTGTTTTTCCTGGCTTTGTGCAGTGCTCGCGTCAATGGTCTCGTTCCGTTTCGTGGACCTTCTCAGCTTTTCTTCACGGGATTTGAGCGTCCGTCTTAATTTTTTAAACTGTCTAAAATCTCTAAATGACCTCGATTTATACTCGTTTCCTTGCAGGCCTGAGTCAGCTTGGAGAGCTGAAACTCGGGGACAGGGTCATGGTGTCTTCCTCTACCAGTGGAACAAAGATGGGGATCCTCAAGTACCTTGGGGCGACGGAGTTTCAGCCTGGTGACTGGGCCGGCATTGAGTTGGATGAGCCTGCAGGGAAGAATGACGGAGCTGTTGCTGGCACGAGGTGCACACTTTCTCCTTCTCCTAGTGTACATACAGTATTCTGTATCTGTCTCACGCGTGACTGCGAAACCCCTTGAGGGTCCACTCCATGACCCGGGTTCACCGTTTGAGGTTGCTTCGAACTGGTTTACACGAGGATATTGATTCTCTTCAATATTGCGAGTAAATTCCGATGATTATCAGATGTGGTCTTGGACATCGTGTTTCTGAAATACCGCCATCATTTTCGAAAGCTAGAAAAAGTTTTTGACCACTCGGGATCCTATGGAGATCAGGAAATTAAGGAGAAAACTGAAAGTACAATAACTGGACTCAGCGGAAGAGCCCAGAAGTTTGAGAATTTTTCTTTTATTAAATAGCTGGAATTGGAAACGCGAAGAACTGTAGTACAGTGATACCTTGTGGTACGAATGTTTCACTCTCTTACTGTAAGCAAAATTTTTAGTACTGTGCAAACAAGTTTCTAAAAAAAACGAAAGATACCTGAAAATTGGTTTTCATCTCAACTTTTAAGGATAACCCGCTTGAAAAAATTCAAATCTGTTATCCACACCTCCTAAACAAAATCAGGATGAAAACCTGTTTCAATGATCTTTTATAACATCCTAAGAAACAATGCATTAAATATGAAATCCACATTTTCTGACCAAAAATTCCGATGAAAACCCTCTTATGATTGAATTGCAGGTTTGAAACATTGCATCTAAGTGTATTATGTAAAAATAATTTGCAACATTGGTTTTCATCTCAATTTTGTCAGAAAGCGTGGATTGCAGGTTTAATACATTGCATCTAAAGGGGTTATGCTTGATGGGTTTAATCGAAATTAAAACGAAGAGTTTTGAATTTTTTATCAATCATTGCTGTCTTGCAAAAAATTAAGTGATTTCCCATAGAAGACTATCGGTAATTGTCATTTGTTCGAAGAACGAACTGTACAACAATTATTCCTTGTTTTGGTATTAAAATTGTTTCTTACGTGATTGATTTTACATTCCTCTGGAGTGTGTCTTCAACGACATGGAATCTGAAGCAAAAGTTGTTGACAATTGAATCATGAATTGAGGAAGTTATCTTGGAAAATTTGAGATCAGTTCCGGAATATATGTCTTTCAGTTCCGTGAATGTTGGCTATCTGTGATCAACAGTTTTACAGAAGAATGCCACATCACTTGATTGTATATTTTTCTTCAATTTTTGATCAGCATTTTCAGCCTCATGAGGAAAGAATGAATCAAAAAGAGATTGCATTTGACTCCGAAATCTCCCTAGAAAATCTTTTTTTTGTAGTAAAGTGTTCGTCTCCGTTGAGAAAAAAAAAAAAGAAACCGAGACGTTATTGTAGAAAAGCGAATGCCTTTCTCCCTTTGTCCGCAGATATTTCGAGTGTAAGCCGAAGCACGGGTTGTTCGCACCCGTGAACAAGGTGGGCAAATCACCGTACCAACGACGTATGTCCAGTAATGTCTCAAGAGGAGGACAAAGAAGAGGTTCTCAGGACTCGTTAAGCTCTTTGTCGACCACTTCTTCTGCCAAGGGGTTTGGTGCCGGGCTTCCTAGAGTGAGTTTTGCTTTTTTCAACTTGACAAGGAAGGAATATTATTTTCCTTTCTCTTACGGTTCATCGAAAAAAATAGGAATTAAAAGGTGAAGTTGCTCGACTGAATACCTGGCTGCAAAGAGGCTCGCGAAACTGGATAATGAGCCAAACTTGCAATTATTGAATTCCATCAGCGGAGCCAATTGAAACTACCCGTAATGATCAGGATGTGAATTAAAATACAGTTCGATGGCGTCAGTGGCTTTTTACACTAAATTTTTCAGGAAACGTGTTACTGAAATCTTTGAAAACTGGATAATGAGCGAAACTCGCGAGTAATGTACGCTATCAGCTGAGCAAATTGTGACTACAGTACCGTTCAGGATAAGAAGTACAGTACTGTACATGAAATAAGTTTTTTTTACCTAATTGTCCAGGAAACTTGTTACTAAAGTCTGTTCAAACCGATAAAGTGGTTAATGCGGAATTCTCGAATTTTGCAAACTTGAACCCTTAGTAAGAGAAACATTTGCAAGATGAGTTGTTGTTTCTTGTACGTTTTTGCCCAAGTTTTATCCAGGAGGACGCATCTCTTTGAAGAAGGATTAGCATGTGATAGGATTTTTTTTCAAACAACCAGTCTTATCCGCAGCTGTTTTAAGCAGAAAATTCACGCTTCGGTTAAGGGTTGCGATCCTTCCATAACTTTTGAATGTTTGAAAACACGCTCTGCCCTTCATTTTTTAATTGGTTGCAAAATTAGGTTATTTTTAAATCCGCAATTTGAGGTCAGATATCGTGGACAGGTGGGTTAAGGTGTCATTGCAAAATCAAAATGCTGGTGTATGCTTCGGTAACTTTTTCCTGGCGAACTAAACATGAATGTATTTCAGGAACTATGGATCGTTGTCAGATTCAAATCAAACTGGAAGAAACCAGCAACAAATTTCGACAAGAGGTTTCTAATTATAGAGAAATGGCCATCTTTTGCTGGATATAAAGATTAATATTTACAGAAATTAAAATTAATTATTTTTCCGCCTTTAAACTGCTGATCAAATGAGTTGACGGGATGCTGAACTTGGAGTTGATGTTCAATTTCAAATGATTAGTCTCTCGCATCCCTTAGAAAAGCAACAAGTACTGACTTTTTTTTTTCCTCTTTCCTGAGTAACCAGAATAATAACCCGAAGGTCGCCAAAAATTTGAGTTATGGAGGTTTGAGTGGGAAACGCTCTGAGATGAGAGGTTTTTTTGCCGTATTCACTTGAGTTCCACGCGCACCTGTTTCTCAAACGTGAGAGGAAGGACGGGGTTGTACATTGCATGATTGTAGGCAGGTATGCATTTTTCAAAAAAGTTCAGAATGTTTTTGTGTGCATGATACCTTATGCTAATGGGACATTTTGGACCGATTTAATCAGAACAACTTGATCCGATGGAAATACAGTGATGGAAAGTTTCTTGAACTCAGGTTCAATTATTGTCTAAATTAAAACTTGGTTCTCAAAATATCGCAGTTTTAGAGTCGCAAAAAATGGGGTGTGCGTCTTACTTCGGGTTACAATTGAATCGAAATTGTAGACTGAGAAACCTGTGTGTGCCTCGTACTTGAGTGAATACAGTACAGTACATATTTTTTCTGCAGGAAGTTCAGGCAGGGCCTAAACAAGAAACAATTTCAACAAAAGAAGGTTCTATTATCGAGGTTCTTCTGTATGACAATTTGGTTCATTTGTGTTGACCGGTTGTGTTTTGGTCATTTTTATTATGCTTGACGCAACATGCCGGAGATTCGCCTGTGAATTTTCGCACGAATTCCATATTTCTTGGTAATATCGTGATCGTTTTTGCTGTTTTGTTTTTCAGCGGTCTGTTACTGGCAGAACTGGAATTCCGATCACCGGGGCCACCGCGTTTCAGGTGAGTTTTTTCTGCAGAAACAGAAATGATAAAAGAAGGTCCTCTCGTGTACACGACGAGATGGGGGAGCTGAACGAGGAAGATCGCTGAATCCTCCTCCTTCAAGTTTCCCATCTCGGGTTTTCGGTTAGAAAATAAGGTCCCGTTGGTTCGTAATGGTCTGGGGTGGGACACAGCTACTGTACCGTAATGAACGAGTTGTGGAAGAACAAAAGAAAAAAAAATAGAGACGTTTCGGAAATTGAGTCTGATGAGCATTGGTCTTGCTTTCCGTTTCCGTGTCGCTGCTACCCTGCCGTCGACCAGCCCCGGGAAGAGTTTTATTGATCCATCCGTACGTTTTACCCCATTGCATTTCATGCACTCACCCCGCTAACATTAACCGGTGTAACCAGGAATACAACCGTGGCAGCATTTTTGTGTTTCATTTCACTGGGTTGCGGGTTCCTTGGTGGAGTGTAGGACTCTCTGTTGCAGGAAACCATCAAGGAGAAGGAGGTGCACATTGAGCAGCTCCTGCGGGAGAAGGACTTGGAACGTGCCGACCTTGCAAGAGCCGTTGCGAAAGCCGAAGATGTCAATGTCAGGTGCGATGCCCTACACTACACAGTATTGTATTTCTTGCCAGTCAAATTCCGTTTCGCCGAATCTCTGTAAAACGAATTTTTCATCACAACAATTTGTTGGCATCAGCAGTTTCTTTGTAGGAACAAAGCGAAAATGATATCATTTTGACAATTTTGTCAAGCTGAAAACTCAAGCTCAATATTCAGTTGAATCGCATAGCAAGAAATCTGTGGGGACTTTGGAAAAAGTTTGTTGTGATGAATATTTTGTTGGATCGAGATTTTCAGTGTAATGACTTGAAAAATTGTATACAATTAAACCTGCATGCATTATATTCGAATCTTCCTTTTCTGGCCTTTTCAAAAGCTTTACCATGTTTGAAAACTTCGATCTTCTATGAAAATGCAAATGTCAACGGTGAATCCTCTGTACAGTAATTCCTTTGCCGAATCATATATATCAATACTGTTGCATCATCCACCTGTTCTGGATTTTTTGAACATTCCAACGTTACAAAATCTTGATCTAATCAAAAGTAATTTTTTGAAATTTTTCCTATGGTTTTCTTTTTAACCCATTCTGTTGGCTACCAAGATAAAAATGAATCAAATTTAATTTTAGAAAGATCCTAATGCAAACAAAAGAGAGGATATTTAGGTGAACTTTTTTCTTTTTGTTACCATGCACCTTCCATTTATGTCCCAAGAAACAGTCGCGCTCAAATTAAAAAAAAAGAAATCTTAGACTGCGCCTGTCTTGAATACGAATTTTATCAGGAAAATCCCAACATGTTCATCAGAAAAGTTTGTTGTAATGAGATTGCTTCTACATTTACTATATGGGCTTTCTGCTTGGATTTCCAAAAAACCTTCTCTTACTGAAAAAATTACAATGGTGTTTCTTGTAACAAGATTTTACTGTAACAAGTTTTTGCCCCGTTTCTATGAGTGGGTCATAATGATCATCTCATCATGTCAAAAGATTGGAAAATTTGCTAGAAATACCTGAAAAACTTGTTAGGAATATAATTCAGTATAGTTTTGGAAAAAGTACTGTGCGTGAGTTTTGCAATGGCTCTTCTTTTTGAATGAACATACAATGTGTACCTCTTCTTCAAGAAGCAGCTGGGTGTGCTTGAATACATACCTTTGGAAGGGGGTCATTTTATTTTAGAAAATCAGCGCATTACATACAGTGTTCGAAAATTCGAAGCAAGGCATGTTCAAAGTACAGGAGTTTATTTGAAAAGATACTCTTGAATTTCATCAGGGAGAGTTTGAGATGCTGAAAAGTTTCAAGTTGATATTCAGTGTACAGTATATACTGTACAGTACTGCAGAAGCACAGTACAATGCTCATCCAAAAGGAGCATTTTCCCGCTCTTTCTGAAATTCAAAAGGCAAATGGGACACCATGCCCCAATTGATTGAAAGAATTGTTGAATTCCACGACACAGAGGAAAGTCAGAAGCTACCAGATCCGAACAGTTTGTGAATTTCAAAATAACTTCATTGAAATTTTCTGTATGAATGAACAATTTAATCTTCGTTTCTTGTTCAAATTTCAATTGCTGCTGAGAAAAATGATAAAATCGCATTCCCATTACCGAGAATAAAATTCTGAAAACTATCCTTGATTGACGTGTATCTGACTTCTTGCGAATTTTCCGTGTTCGGTCAAATTGAAAAAGTGAAATACGATATTGTCGTAAGGGTGGCGATTTGGTGTAAATCCCTTCCCTTGCTGGCTTTTAGAAGTGCTGAAGGAATCGGAACTTCGAAATTTTTCTTCTGGAATGGTTACTTCTTCGGAAATGAATAATTTTATTTAAAATTTTACGGAGATATAAGGATAACTTATTTTCGCAGAAAAAAATCTTAATATATTTGCTTTGAAAATGGCAGTCTTTGAAAATGTAGGAACAGAACTAATTTTCCAAAAAATTTGGAATTGTTTCCAACTGAAACATTTTTATGGAAACAAAATATTCGAGTGCAGAAAAAGACCTTATATTTCAATTTTCCTGAAAAAATCCATCGAAAATGTCATTGTTTCCTACACATCTTCGCTGGCCTTGAGTTCGAATATCTAACCGCACAAGTATTTTATTGTGTGTTGCCATTTAATCTAGGTTTACCCCCAGTAGAGATTTGTGTTGAAGGAAATTAATCCCTCGTTCCTTATTTTTTTTTTAGGTACTTGGAAGCCATTCGGAGACTTGAGCAGGTGAGGTTCATTTGTTGTTTGTTCATGTTCCGTTGTGATGCAAATCATGATTTGATTTCAGAGCGAAGAAGCATTGCACGTTTTAAGAAAACAAGCGGAAGCACTGAAAAGGGACTTCGAAGATGAACGACGAAAGAATGAGGACCTGGAATTCCGACTGGAAGAACAGTCTTTGATGATGGAGGAATTTAAGGTAGCAAAGCAGACTTTAAACTCTGTTGAAACTGGGAGTACTACAAGCATGTCTTGTTTAGATGTCGTTGTTGTTAATGTTTGTTTGCGAGGGATGGATCTCATAGGTTGCCTAACTCAGTGTTCCCCAACCTTTTTGGGCCTGCAGACCGGCAAATTTCCAAAAATCCCTTCAGGGAGGGGAATTTTCATAGAATTTTTGCAGATTCGAAATTTTTGCTTGAAAGACTTTATGGCAGGTATTTAAAAAGTGTCCGCTATTTTGCAAAAACTAAGTTGAAAACAAATGAAGCATTTATAGTGGAATGTCTTCAAAAAAATTAGAAAGGTGGGCTTGAAGAAAGGTTTCTCAGAACAAAATTTGAAATACTGTAATTTATTTCAGCAGGTGAAAATTTGTCTGAAGTGTTGTTAGGAGAAAGGCCAACTTTTATTTTTCATTTGATAGTTTCCACTGCCATTGTCTCCGAAATTTCAGATAAAGATAAGATTTCATTGCTACTTCTGATACATTCATTATGCCGAAGAAAATTTCGCTTTGACCAGAAAAAGACTTCTGCGGACTGTCTCCAGTTCACGGACCACAGGTTGGGGAACATTGCTCTACCCTAACTTGTCTCACGGAGTAGATTTAACATTAATTTTGAGAGGGAACTTTCCGTGAGTCTTTTGATATGTTTTCTTTTTCCAGTGGATTCTTGAAAGTCAGGATGCTCGAAGGCGTAGTTCGCGTCCTTTATATCGTTCTGGTTTTCATCGAATGTTTTCTGGTGTCAGGGGGAGAGTAGTCCAAAGCACATGCCAATGGCCGTGGATGAAGACAAGGAGGATTTGCTGAGGAAACGAGAACTAGAGATTTACGAGCTTCAGGAGGCCAACATGGTGAAGGAGATGGAGATTGCCACACTAGCTGTAAGCCCTTTCTGGTTCCAAAGCCGTTGAATTGAACGTTAGTGTGACGAAGTGATGCATTTTTCAGACGAAGGTTGAAGAGTTGGAGCAGAGAACCATTCCTCAAGTCACCCAGGATAATTCCGAAGAAATTCTGATCCTGAAGACCCTCTGCAAAGATAAAGAAGTGGTTGTGGATGCTTTGAATGATCAAATAGCAGTGCTCCAGGCAGAAATCCATGCCAACCGAAGCCAAAAAAATGCCGTCGGGACGGACGTTGCGAGATTCCAAGCGTTGTCGTCGGAAAATGAAGCCTTGAAGCTGGAATGCATCTCCAAAAATGAACAGATCGAGGAATTTTCGCGGAAGTTGGAAAAACTGGAGCTCGGTTCAGACGCTTTAGCTAGACTTTTGCAAGAAAACGAGTCGCTGAAAGCGGCAAATAAAGAGAAAGAAGTCATGTTGGATACCCTGAAGCGGCAGGTTTTGATGTTGGAGCAGAATTTCTCTCAGTACCAACAAGAGCTCAAAGATCGCGTTATTGAAGGAAATCAAGACCGGGTTGCTATGGAACAACTCCGGCATGATCTGTGGGTCTCAGACTTGATGTCATTCCTCAATTTCTTTAATTCTTAGCCCTGTGATCAATCTTAATTTTCAAGGGGGTTGGCGCAAAATCGATTGACGGAGGTTGAGTGGAAGCTGAAGACTTCCGAGGAGGAAAAGGCTGATTTAGCACACGAGCTTTCACAGTCCGAGTCCGCTCTTTCTGCTCTGCAAAAGTCTAAAAGCCAGTGAGAAAAATTACAAGCCGTTCGTTTTCTCTTTCGAATTGCAGTAATTTCTCACCTTCAGTGAAGTATAAATAGTCATTTCGTGCAAGGGGCCTGAAAACATTTCTCGAGATAGACATTGATCTGGCATGTTCTTGGGCTGAAAAACAATTAATGTTGAGATGAAGTAATCTTTGGCACGAAGAAAGAAATTCAGCCGTGTTCGACGTATTTTTCAGAAAATTTTGGCAAAAGCCACCCTGGCAACTTTCTGCCCTTCGCTCGAGAAACGAGGCCCCCATTTCGCAGATTCTTTGATGTACTCTAGTTTTTCCTTCGGAATACTGTATTTGAAATTTACATGGCATTGATTCCAAGGGTTGCCCTCTTTATTTGATTACGAATAAAAATTACGGTGGAAGACGTGGAGGCAACCCTCGGAATTAATGCAATATCAATTTCAAAAATTCTGTGCGAGAAACTGGGCGACATCAAAAATCTGCGAGATGGGTACCTCATCTTTTGAGTGAAGAGTAGAAAGCTGCCAGGGTGATTTCTGCGAACAAATTTCGAAAAATACTGTCTGTCGAACAGGGCTGAATTCGTAGTTTTTGTGCCGAAGAAGGTCTTTTCTAGAACAATACTGTAATAGTAATTGTTATTCAGCTCAGTCGGATGCCGTTTCAATTTCTATCCCGAGAACGTTTGTTGGACTCCTCGTACGGCCTATAAGCGTATTCGTGACTTTCTTCCCGCAATGTCCGAGGAACGGACTTGAACGTGTTTGGTGTTCCAGGGAGGAAGAGAAGAGGAGATTACTGGAAAGCAACCTGGAGATGTTGAAGAGAGATTTGACCAAGTCGAGAGCAGCTCATTTGGAGTCGAAGAGGGACCAGGAGGCACCATGCTCAGAGAATCAGGTTAGTGGAAGGTTTGCAAGTGCTCGACACCGCTGCTAACCCTGTGCTTTTTCATGCTGCTTGAACCAGCGTGTTCGAAAGGATGAATATCTGTCTTTGAATGAGGTGTATGGTATTTTGGGGGTTGATGCTACGGAGGAGAAGGAAGTTGAAGTCACGTTATGGGGCCTGGTTTCACTAGGGATCTCTTTAGCATTAGCTCTGACGTTTTCACTTATCTCTTGGTGAAGAATTTTTCAAAGAAACGGTCAGAATGGATTTTTCCCGACATGATCCTCTCTAGTGCATGTTTGCTTGAAATAGGAAGATTTCTGCCAAACGCTGTTCGACGAAGCAGGGACTTTTTTTTGTTTTTTGAAGCTTAGTTGGCGTGTTAGAAAGCATGAGTTCCGTGTTGGTTGATTGAAAATGATTCATGGAGCTTTGACTTACTGTGGAGTTTAGGTGTTCCAAGTAAACTTCCTCGACTCGTTCAGGAGTCCAGTCTGACCGTTGCTGGATTTGCGACAAGCTTTTTTTTTCGAACTCGCTGCTTACGTCTGGTTTATTGTACGCATTTATAGTGCGAACAATGCTTTGAATCAACAAAGTTGGCGATGTATTCATTTCGGGGTTAGGCTAACCGTTGTTGTTTTCAAGCTTGGGGGAACGGATTTCCTGAATGCCATTATTGTGGACCTGAAGAGACGGAACCAAGAGCTGGAAATCAAGTTGAGTGCCCTCATGGCTGACCCTGGTGCTTTGGCTGCAAGGTGAGCCCGTCGTGAATTTAACCCGAATCTCCACGCACTCCTGCCGAAATGATCACGCTGCAGAAATGGCGAATGATGGAGGCGTTTCGGTGTACAGAGCGTTTTCAGTCGTTACCGTTTGATAACTTCGTTCGAGCTGCAAGTACAACACGTGACGTGGTGTATTTGCCTGCAGTTTTCGGTAGTCCTGTGGCTTGTGTATGGATGAAGGTGGCTTTTGTGGGGCGTGGTCGACTGGAAGTCGAATTCGAGTCCAGTCTGACCTGTCTTTCGAAATTTGTTTCAAGTGGGGTGAGCAACATTTTGATGACGAATGCTGAGAACCTGTAGTTCATGCTGATGTGGGATGCAGGCATCTGAAACAAAAGGGGACCCTCAGTTAAGAAACTCCTTGGTTAACGAACTTGTATCCTCATATAAAAATTCCTCAGTGAACGCATTAAAATTTGATTGACAAATTTCTGTTCCCTGGCGAAAATGTGTGATTCGAAATTTCAAAATTTGATCAGGACACTGAACTATAGGTTACAATCTAAATTTAATTAATTTATCTCTGAACAACAGTGCAACAGTCTTCCTCCTGGCACTCCACTGTAAATGTTAACTTGTGATCGTGTTCAAATTTCAGATTCAATAGTTTTTTGATCTCCAAAAGAATCAATTGAACATATTATATCCAGCTGTAAGACTGGAAAAAGAACACTTATGAACAGGTTTTTGGTTGTTTCCACTGATGCCATTAATGTAAAATTGATATTTAATTTTCTGCGACACTTTTCCTCCCATATGTGAATGTTTTCTTGATGTGAAGCTGTTCCAGTGTTGTTTCCATTAGTCATATTTCTATCGGACCCTACAAAACACTGAACTCGCACAGGATGGTTCAGTAACTCATTCTGATCAAGTACTCCTGCCTTTTTTTTTTCCTAAATGTTAAAATTTATTTTGGGTGCCAGTAATGGATTATTTAGTTCTCCTTTGAAGTCTATGGGAAAATGAAATTTGGATAACGAATGTTTTGGTTGAAAAACTTTCGTCTGGAACCGATAAAGTTCTCTGAATGAGGGTCAACTGTACTGAAGGATTTCCTGCGCAGATTGGTTGCATGTTTTTTTGGGTTGAATGCCAAATTAGCCGTTTTCATTCCCGAAGTGTTCGTTGCAGTCTAGAGCAACGGAAATCACGTCTCTGTGGTGCTTTTGAAATGACCAGTCTTTCATGTAGAGAAACATCAAACTAGATGAACCCAGATAACGAATTACCCGTTTCCTGGGAAGCTTCGTCTGTGGTTGCCAGTGACCATTCACAAGAAGAGGCTATAGACAATTTGAGACAGGATGGATTAATAACTGCCACAATAATACCTACCTGTCACGCACATCTTCACCTTCATTCTCTTCTTTAATTTTTAAAAAATGTTTATAACTGGTCATCCATTACATTTTCTTCATCATGTGCTTTGTAAAATTGTTTAAAATTAACCAGGAGGAAAATGAAGGCAAGGCTAAGTATTTATTTTTTTACCAGACCAAAAATATATTTTAATGCAAGTGGGAAAAGGCAGCATTGCATCAGTATCCCACAGTTCTCCCACTAAATACACTCTTAATACCTAGCGTAATTATTCTACAGTTCTTGCTCTAAATACGATCAGCTTACATGTAAACAAGCATGGAACATCATACAAGACGGTTTAGATCAAATGACGGTGTCAGAAGTCTCTGTATCAAAATCTTTTGAAGTGTCTCAAATAGTCTTTGTCTTGACGTGTTTTTGTCTCAAATGGTTCTGTTCCACAGTTTCGAATAGTCCCTGTCTTGAATTGTCTGTCTCAAGTGGTTCTCGAAGAATTCAAGTGTACCCTGGAGAAATCATTCGTCTCCTTTTTTTTTTTTTCGTGAAACGCTTGCTGAAGTGTGGCTAGTTTCAAGGTAGAAACTTTATGCTGGGGTATAGAAAGAAATGCTGGAACATCGAAGAATGATCAACATTTCATGAAAAATCAACCTGGGAGCTTTTCGACCATACCAGGATAGATATGCTCACGTCCAGCACAGAACCAATGCAGAATCAAGATGGCTCCGACAAATTTAAATGGAACTGTCATCGAATTCCGTGCGCTGTGAAGGAATTGAAGATAGGCTTTGAGGAGTCAGTAACTTGTTATCTTGAGAATAATCCGAGAAAGAATTTCTTGAGGAATTTGAAGAAAATCTAATTTGATTGACGTCGCGCCTCCACACATGAATATGCCAATGGATCACCCCTGTATCCTTCATTCCATTTCTCCCGTGGTTTTCTCTGAACATTAGGAAATGCAAAGGTCATCAATCGTCTCAAGCTTTACCATCAGCTGTTCCCTGAGAAAATCGGCCAGTGTAAACTGTTTTCTCATGAATGTTTTGTGTGCATTTCATTTTAGGGTGAAAGCCCTGTTTGAAGGTGTGGATGATAGTGAACGTCCTTGAAACTCCAACGTCAGTCAGAGCACTTCAGAATCAGTCCAGTCTTGCTTGAAGTAACATTTGTAATGAAAACCCTAGAAACAGTAAAGACATCCCCGTCGTGGTTGAACTCAAACGACGATGTACGGTTTTGTTGTTTGGGGAAATTTTAGATTTCTCAGATGAACGTCTTCTGTTCTTGGAAGGGTTTACTTGTCCATTCTTTGTTATACAGTATGTTGGGTTGATCGTGAAGTTAAATCGACTTGTACTGTATATTGATCATAAAACAAGGATCGTTCTAACAAATAACAGGAGGACTCCGCAATAAAATTTAGGGGGCTTGAAAAAAAAATCGTTGTAGAGAACCCCTACTTGATGGGTAGGGAACCCTACAGGAGGAAAAAACTCGTTATGCAGATGCGACAACAATCGTAAGACAGAATTGTTGTTGATCGGATGTCTACCTGTGACTTACATATATTGTAGTCCGTATTGGAAAACAAATGTAGTCCACGTTGTTCAGTTCACGAGAACAAGAGCAAAAGGCAGAGATGGCTTGTGAATTTCCCTGGGCACTGCAGTTATACAGTGAGACCCCGAGATGCGGATGTACGTGCATCAAGGGTGTCTCTAAGTCCAAATGTCCTTGAGTCGAGTCCTGTTTTCCCATAGACTTACATTATACAGTACAATTTTTAATTGGTGTTTTATGGAAGAAATATTCTTCAGAATTCCCTGAAAAAAATTGTTTGCCACTTGGATTTGAATCAGTGAATACATTTTCAACTCATAAAGAACATTTGGAGCATTGAATAGAGTATCTCTGTACTTTACAGTCAACCCTCGCTTCACGTTTTTAGTTGGTGCAGCAGAAAAAAACGTTAGTTGAAAAAAAAACGTTAAGCCAGGTAGTCTCTCCCTTAAGATATAAGGGAGAAATGTTTAGTTGGTGTTGGGAAATATCTTTTCAATATCTTTTAATAAAAAAACAGGAACATTTACAGAACTTTCAGGTTCATTCAAAGTGCAAAATTTTTAAAATTAGGCCCATAACAAAATTCCTTATGCAATTTAAAAATGGAACATTGTGGCTCGATTTTCAAAAAAGTTTTGTGCTTTTGATTATATCTCTTGTCAATTCTGAATATTTTTTGTGATTTTAAAAAAGGAAATGTTAAAAAATTTGACGCGCATCTAACCCTGTTTCAAGTTTGATGTTTGTTGCCATAGAACTGTTTTTATAAATTTTTAAACTTTGAAAAGCGGGACAAAAAATTGACAAATTCAACTTTAACTCACAACAATTTCTTCAAAATCAGCTCCATTTCAAAATTTTTAACAGGGCTAGAAGCGCATTGAAGTTTTACAAATTTAGCAATTTTAACTTGGGAAAAATGTTAAAAAATGAATCATTTGAAAATAAAAATGGAAGATTTTTCCCCAATTTTGGTTCAACTTTCAGAAACATTTTTCATGATAACTCCATCAATTCTTAATATTTTTTAAATTTAGAAAAAAGAAAGTGTGGGGAACTTCATTGCGCAGATTATCCCTTTTAAAAATGAAGTTTGGTTGTGAAATAAATTTTTGACAAAATTTTAAATGGAACATTGTGCAGAATTCCGTACGTTAAGTGAACAGATTTTTGGGCTTACAACTGGGAACATTAAGTGAAAAAACGTTAACCAAATGGAATGTTGTGCAAGGGTTGACTGTACATTGAAATTTTGGCATATCTACAAAAATAACATTCAAGCAAAAAAAAAAGTAAAAGTCCCTCTATGCTGGAGGTAATTTTTTTTCATTAGCTAAATGGATGGTAATTTGGTGAGAGAAATGCCCCAGAACTTTTCTTACATCAATTTTAGGGTTTGAATTATCTGTTTCTTGTAATTTGGCCTGAAATGGATTTGTAATTTTACCACAAAATGTCCCTATGTTGAGTCCATGTCCTCATGTTGGGCGTTTTTTATTGATTTTTTCTGGTAAAATAAGTGTCCCTATGTCAAATTGTCTGCAGGTCAGGGTGTCTGCATGTGGGGGTCTCACTGTATACCCTTTTGTCCCATATATGAGTGTGACATGCAGTGTGTATCCCGAATACCAAATGCTTGATGAGCCTGTCAGTCCAGTTGAAGACTTTGTTGATGTATTCCCTCATCGATTTGATTCCAGGATGATGCCCGCGGAAAAGGTGGAGCTGGTGTGTACAGTTTGCAAAGCAGTGGGCAGCCATGATGCCAGTGGGTGTCCACTGAGAGCTGACGTGGAGATGGCAGAGCTTGTGGCGGAACAGAGGAAGCTAGGGCGGAGAAATGCCGATGATTCGGATGATCTGGTGCCGCATTCTAGGCACAGGAAACCCAGAACCTGGATGCGGCCGTATTGTTCTTCTTGTGAATGTAAATGTGCAGCTTGTGCTTTTTCGTAATTGTACTGCATGGCTTCCGATAGCACCTGTATATCCTCACTAACTGTGGCGATTCGAGTCGGGGGGGATTTGCAAGAGCAAAACTGTCTGACGATTGTTCATTTAATTTTTCTTCTGCCCCAGGTTTTGGCCACGTCAACACTGAATGCCCACAGCAAGAAACATTTTGAGCCCCAGGAACGTGCTTGATGCGCATGTGAGCTGAAGTTGCAATTTTTGAGAATGCGAGAGCTTTTTAGTTTTATCCGATTCGAGAGTACTGTACTACTTTTTTGATTGAATAGTTGTTGCATTTGGATATCATGTGCCAAGGTGGAATTTTGGCGGATCCGAGTTTTGTTTACGAGCTCATATTTTTTTGTTGGTAACGTGCCCAGTGATTGATTTCATATTGACATTACAAGATTAAATAGTCTGTTTATTTTGATGGGAAAATAGCGACAGTGGCAGTTTTTCGGATCGTGTCGTGAGGAGGGATTACAATCGCATCGAGGCTGTTGATTTCCGCAAAGTTATCCATATCATTTCCTGCGTAATATATTCCATTTCTTGTTCCGCCAGGCTGCTAATCTGCATGCAATTTATTTTCATGTTTCACCTGCTTCTGGAAACGCAACCGGAAATCATGGAAGTACAGTAGAATAGAGTGTAGGCTATTCAAACAAGAAATCCCGCGAAAACTGCTGGATTGGTCGTGATTAGAATTGTCTCTGAGAATGCTTTGATGATGACAAATTTGATTGAATGTCTGTGCAGAAATTAAGGTACAGTAGAATCTCATTACAATGAATCTTGTTATAACAAATTTTTGCTTACAATCTTGAGGACAAATCTTTAGGGCAAAATCATAATCACAACAACCTACCAGAAACCGTGAATTTAATTTTTCTGCATTCTGCTCAAACTGATTTTGGGAGGCTGTTAGGTAAAGTTAGGTTATGTTAGTTATAAATGTCTTTTAATTAACATAACCTGACCTAACCTAACTTTACCTAACTGCCTCCCAAAATCAGTTTCAGCAGAAACCCAAAGAAAGCAGAAACTGATTTTTGCAGACTGTTAGGTGAAGTTAGGTTAGGTCCTAGGTTAAATTGGTCAGAGGGAAGGCACAGAGATAACAGGGAAGTACCAATAAAAAAATTGCTTTTACAGGGATTAGAAATAATGTCCAAAGACATTTCAAAAATAAAATTGACAAATAAAATATAAAGAGAAAAATTTGTGATTGACTCGACATTCGGAAATATTTGCGAAAGACGTGCAATCGATTCGGTTTCACGTGACTCACAAGACAACCGCCGGATCTTGCGTCACACTATCATCGCCTTCCGGTGCTGATCCGGCTTTTCCCCATTTTATTCTCAGCTGGTATAATTCTTTAGGTTATTCGCGTCGATTTCCATTATCCGATTTTGAAGCAGATTTTTGTCCAGTTCTTCCCTTTCCCGTCATTCATCATTTGCACTTGTCCCCTCAGCATTGCCTCGTTGTCAGTCATTCTTCTATATAAGCCCCATTCGCCCCGTACGTCTCCATTAACACTCCTCTTTTCGTGCAACCGCAATGGCGTTTCGTTCACTTCGCTCGTATTTTCTCATCCTTGACACACATATCACTGTACAGGGTGTCGTGAAATGATTTCAAAATCTTTGCGAGAAATTCCCAGCCATGAAAAATAAAATCATAAAAACGGTTACATAATGGTTTTTGAAGAAGTAGTGTATAATAAGGGATGTTCGCCATCAGGTGGTAGGCAGCACTTTTTGGGAGAAAAAACATCTTAAATATTGAATGTTGAATTGTAACTGATATGCTTTAAAAGTGAATACGTGAGACGTAAAATGCATGACTTACTGAAAATTGAAGCAATCGGAGCTAAAATAAGGAGTAACTGAATGAATGAATGAACAGAACACTTTATTTGCCGATTTACAGCATTCACAAGGTTCAATCAAGATTTCCACAACCAAACCCCCAACCCAAAGAAAGCAGAAACTGATTTTGGGAGGTGGTTAGGTGAAGTTAGGTTAGGTCAGGTTAAATTGGTCAGAGGGAAGGTACAGAGATAACAGAAAAGGAGGTACTGAGATAACAGGAAAGTACCCAAATTTCTTTTGAAGTCCAGGCAGTTATCCTAAAGGTGCAGCTTAAATTAATCTTGTTATAACAAAGTATTCTCTGAGTCCCGGCAGTTATCCTTAAGGTGCAGCTCAAATTAATCTTGTTATAACAAATTTATTTTCTACTGACTTGCCAGTTATAACAAATTTTTTCCCAAATTTTTTTCATCTGATTTTCAGATTTTTGGTCCCCAATTTTCATGTGATAATTTCCCGAGGCTCATCATCCCCCAATAGTGTACAGGAAATGTGTCTGCGCCAGAATTACACACTCAAAAATACAGGAAGTTAAAATTGGGTTACATTAGCTGACTGGAAGGAAGCTCATAAAATAAATGTATCCTGATTGATCTAATATCCAATGTCTCAGGACTAGTCTGGAAGCACAGTGCCTAGCTAGCCACCCACCAAAATCTGAGGTAATCTGTTTTTTCCCCGAATGCTCTTCTGTGTTGACTGTTGATTCATTTTTCCAATTTTTAAATTCATTTTCAAATTTAACCATTTTGTGACAGACATTTTTTGGCCAAGATGTGGCAAATTTTGCAGTACTGTATAGTCCTTATTGCAGAGAGAAAAAAAAACGACTAAAATACTTTTGACACTAAAATGCTTTTACAGATGATGAAGTGCATTTCTGTTAATAAATCCATCAGTCTCAGTATAACACATTTTTTGTTGCAACAACATTTTTTTCAAGTCCCTGGGAGTTGGTTGTAATGAGATTCTACTGTATTTCGGCGCTGCAGGGTTCTGCGTGGACTTCATTGCACAGTACTGCGCTGTACAGTATTGTGAAGAGAACTTTCAATATTGTGCTCCAAGTCAGTTTGGACCTTTTCTCAGTTGGGGCCTTTCCTCCTCCTCTATGCATTACTGAAGAACTGTGCAAGTGATTTAGTACCAGTTTTGCGCGGTGTTGTTGTTACCTGCTTCGTTTTTAAATTTGCTGATGCATATTTCCAGTCCTCCCTAATATCCATCCTGATGGTTATGATACCAATGCAGGTCTGCATCCATTCAATCATTGATAGCTGCTAAGGTCATGAATTGAACTTCTGTATGTGCATCACGTTCCAGAAAGGTTACATGCAGGCATTTAGAGATGATTAAATTTTTGAAAAGTCGTTCAACTTCCGTTGTTCCTCTCTGTACAGGAACTGACATATTTTCTGGTTTTCCAATCCCGTCTCCATGCGTGAATAACAAACTTTCAATTGTTGACGACGCGCCCGAGATGGTGCTGCACTCTGCCTTGTTAGTCGCGCGTGTGAACTTCGTTGCTGCCGCTTTGAAGTGCTTTCTTTTATTTAGTTTCCCGTTAGATTTCATCGGAAAACAAGTTTTGATGGAAAGAAAGTGCGGAAATCCTGCTGGAAGTTTTATGCACTGCTGCGTGCTGATGAATCAACTGTGTACAGTACACTTTCGGCATGCCTTCTCGCATGAAGGCCCGGGAATCGAATTGCGCGAAGCAGGAGTTTCTTTATATACCAGAAAGTCCGTCTGCCATCGTGAGCCTCGGACGAAGCAGAAAATCTCTTCCCTTGGATGAATTCACCTAAAATAAAATAGAAAAGAAAAAACTCTAGGATGCGTCAGTACTTGAAGGTTCGGCTGTGGTATAACTAGCTTTTTCGATGGAACCAACATTGCCACCCAACTCCGATGTGGCCATGGGACACTTCGACATTTATTGTGGCCAAGGGCCACATTGCAGCAGAGGTGGAGACTTCTTGCAGGCCACACCAGATAATGAATTTCCGAGGTTCTAAACTGAAAGTTACAGATTGAGTTCAGTGCAATGCATTGAATCACAAGCAATAATAATCTCATACGAATTGCGAAAGGTGGAGCAACATTTTGTATTTTGAATGAATCTTCCAGGACATATTCCAAATTTTGGGAGCTGCCACCTTGAAATTTATAGGAAAGGCACCGCAGGCCATATGCTGGGCAGCACTGCCTCACAACTGAGCTAAATAACTAGTCCAATGCATGAGGATATAAACATAATCAGAGAAACCAATTGTAGCTGTTGGACAAAACAAAGTACGCAGGGGGCCCCAACATATGGACGCCGTACAACATGCAGGCATACACAGAAATCTCCGAAGATTGCCTGGACATCTGGAAAATGTCTCAAGGTATGGTCTCCTTGCGAGCATAATCAAAACAGTATCATCTTTCGAAATTGGGATATCTCTTGAACAAGCTATGAATGTAAGTGTGCAAATAAAAGTAAAAAAAAAAAAAAATCTTTTTTAGATTCACACTCAAATTCATTTTCAATAACTGGAATTCTGGGCTAGGGATTTTCCATCAACTACTGTGTGCACTGTACAGTAGACAACTAGACATATGTGCTTGTTTTGTCTTATAATTCCCTTTATGGTAGATTGTATACCTGTACAGTGCATTTCATTCCAAAATTCTTTCATTTGCGCTGTTACTTTCTGTGTTCTAAAGTTAGGAAAAACACTTTCAATTGAATTTTGGAAAGTTTAAAATGTTGTTTGCCAAATGAGAGGTGATTGAAAACGTCCTCACTGAAATCTATGAAAATATGTGATCGAACAGCATGCAGTATGCACATAATCCGACAATACAGTATATGAGCCATTGCAGCCAGTGAAGTTATTATGACAGGCATCTCAATTGGACCCCACTGTGCATATCTGCCTATTATTCGGTCACTGCTACTACACAAACATCACCAACATGAAAAACAATCCGTCATCCCAACCTTTTTGAGGCACCCACAAATTTCCAAATCTAGGGGAAGGCTCATTAGTTATATGAATAACCAGCGCATTGCAGACCGAAATAATTGCCCCTTCAATTGTTCAAGAGAATTAGCAGACGTGTAACATATTCAACAGTGCAGTCATGTACGGGTATGCTGTACTGTACATGTGAATACAGTAGCACAGGGCTTTATTGTATACTGATTGCAAACGGGCGCATTTTCAAAATTGTGAGAGCGACATCTGGACCTTTTTTGTTGAAAAACACGCATAGTGCACTTGCAGCGCTGGGACGCTAGCTTCAATGCCATGCACCGAATGTCGAGTAAATAATACAGTACTAGTTGAACCAATTGAAAATGCACGTTTCAGCCACAAAGTTTCCCCAGTGACAAATCCCCTCTTTAATCTGGAAATCCACTGCTGTGCTGAACAGTAAATGTGTGCCCATGGAAATACAGTGAGACCCCCACATGTGGACACCTCAACCTACAGACAAGTTGACATAGGGACCCTCTTTTTCCCAAAAAAATTAATAAAAAAGGCCCAACATGAGGACACTGACTCAACATATAGGGGCATTTTGTGATAAAATTGCAGATACATTTCAGGCCAAATTACAAGAAGAAGATATTTCCAACCCGGATGCCTACAATTAATGTAAGAAAAGTTCTTGGGCATTTCTCTCACCAATTTA